ATGACCAATGGCCACATAACAACCGGCATTTTCTATGCTCTTTCTCACTCTCGCCCCACTTCCCCCCTATTGCCGTGTAACTAGCCGCCTATTACCAACCCCAACCCCCTCCCATATTCTCATGACTAATTTGCCTGTAAGTATGATCATAATTACCTGCAGTTTACACTGTACATTATACCTCTTCCCATATAAACGTACTTGGCCCGATGAAAATTTATCGTAAGTATACATACGTATGCTCAACATTCACTACTCTGAATTCAGGAATTATTGCTATGTAGTGGATTCGGATCTATGACTTTCTGAATAGACCTTGACTAGACCAATTAGTCGATACCTCCTACTATATCTCTGAAAACGCCTTTATTGGTCGGGAGGTCTTTAATACTCGAATTACATAGAAGAAGTGCATGTATATAAGTATGGTCGAATAATCCGCGCCACTGACGGGCCTGAATGCGATGAACCAGATGTTAGGGGCCGCTTTAACCGACGTGCTCGCACACTGCCCTATCGACTCCCTCCCTCCCAAACCACACTGCCATTCCGCCCACGTGATGACTCACAAGCAGCGACCGGGATCGGGACTCTATCACGCCAGTCGGGTGAGCCAGAAAGACAGTCAAACCGTTACCCACTTGAAGACCCTATCTGATTGATGCGGTCGTAGGCCGATCCTGTAAATGCTTGCACATGGTTTGCTTGCCTCGATAAAGTACACCGTTAGGATATGGCAGTACACTTCCATTCTGACGTCCTTGATGTTCTATTCTCTTTAAAAGATGGCAAGTTGGACGGTGAACATCGTGCCTTTTGGCAATGTTATAGCACCAGGAACTGAGAGCCTGCAGCCTACGCTTTGATGACATACAGTAGTCGCCGGTTATTAAGCCTACAGTTAAAAAGTCCGCCGCTTATTAAGCCCAATTTGGTCTGGGCCCGAGGTGGGCTTAATAGTCCGGCGACTACTGCAATTATTTTTTCCCCTTGTTAACTGTATAAGACGATATCTGCAATTCAGCGCCTTAGATTGCATTTCTTTTCCACCCTTTCATCTTCAGTTGGGCTTGGAAGATTCAATGGTGGAGGAGTTCGCACGGTTCTTCCTACGGTGCCAGTTGCCACTCTCCCCTTCCATGGGACCCAAGGAAGTGGACTTCAAACTCTTCCTCAACGCCTTGACCGCCCTTGAATCCCACCGTCAGTAAGTACTGGCTTTGAATCTTGCTTTAGTCAGGTCGCAACTTGAGTTTTCAACCCAAGAGTAAGCTTAGATCTCTGTATGCATCCTAAACTGTAAGCAGAGAATTTATTTTCAAAACAAGACGGATTTACGAGCTCTACAAAGGACTGCTCTATGATATCGGGTGCAATTTATGACCGTCACTGGGACAACCTTGTGACACAATCTGACGCGTGTTGTTTCATTTCCCCAGAGTATGATGTTATTATTTTGAGCTGTGATAGATTAAAACTGTCATTTTATTCTATTTTACCTGAATGAAAAATCTTCTGTTCGAAATCTAGCGAATGCAACTCAATGTCAAAGCAGGACCCATCAACAACTAAGGTACTATAACCCTCCTTTTTCATAATCTATTTGTTTTTAATGATTCGCCATGGTATCCCTAACACAATGAGTACTCGTCTTGCATCGATGGTTTATTAGCGATGCCATTAAAGCCTGCATTGTTATCTTGACTTGCACATTAAGGTATGAAACAACGCGATTTTCATCAAAGTTGCAGTGACAGAGAACAACTTCAATGTTTGAATGTGTTTCGGCTGGACGCAAGAATAAATACCTCTGGCAATAAATGCCTAAAAGGTGCCTACTTATTAGATTTAGGTAGGCACCTGCGATAATCAATCGGCGGTGCCTGCAAGAACGCTCTTAGGCGACCAATTGGCCGTCTACGAGAAAAACAGCAGAAGGCAAAAGCCCCAACGGAAACGGTAAAATAAGGCGTAAAGAGAAACTACAAAGCTTACAATTGGAAGCATGGTACTGTTAATTGGAATCACGGTAAGAAAAAAAGGGGCGACATTGACAGTCGCATACACAAAGAGACAGTGGACGGTCTCCTGTGTAGTGGTGGCGACTGGCAGATAAAAAACCAAAGAAAAAGAAGCGAACTGGCCTTCCGTTATGTCCCTCCATTGTATAGAGGGAATAAAACGAAGGTAGGGTAGTAGAGAAGAGTTTACTGCAACTTTTAGGACGGTACAGAAGATGAGTCAACACCCTAGCCATCCTTGAGTCAGGCTGTCAAGGAAAAAACAACACGCGATAGCGCCATCGCACAAAGAGCTAGATTACGCGTGAACTTCAAGGGCTGACACCACGCGAATACGTTAGGAGTTATGCGCACGCGAGACAGTCGCCGGCATGTGTCACACTGCGGTCACCAGCCTCAGATGATTGCTGTCCGGATAAGCGCCCCGCGGAGGGACCAATAAGAAGGGATAGGGAACAAAGCCTGCTGGCCCTTAAATGCAAGGCTGCGAACAGAAGACACATTCTGCTGCTGACGCGAGAGCTGTGGCTCGACTACAGAAGGCAAGCTGCAGACGGGACGACTTGCTGACGGGTACGGAACAAGTTGAGAGACACGCGCAGAGTTTAATGTTCACGCAGAAACTGTTAGAGTAAACTGCTCTCTTCTATCCTGTCTGTCTTCCCTTCCTAACATCCAAATGGGGGATATAACAGCAACAGTCTCAGTGTGTACATCAGCTTCTCCCCGCGTGCCTCAAGTTGTTCTCGTGTGTAGCCAGTGGTCCACGTGTCCTATAACTTATTTCCATGGGCAGCAAGTTTTCTTTCTGGCGTCGCAAGTCCTCTGCGTTTGTAGCGGTTCCCGCC